CCCGCCGCTGTTGCTTTCCCTTCTGCCCATTCCGCCACGTTTGGAGCTGCCGCTTCCGTGTTTGGAGTGCTGCTGCCATTTGGAGTGCCGCCGCCATTTGGAGCACCGCCATCATGTTTGGAGCTGCCACTTCTGCGTTTGGAGCTGCCGCCATGTTTGGAGTGGCGGCGGCGCTCCAAATGGCGGTGGTGCTCCAAACAGCAGCAGTGCTCCAAACGCGGAAGCGGCAGCTCCAAACGCGGCAGCAGCTCCAAATGTGGACATGGCAACTCCAAACAGCAGCAGTGCTCCAAACAGCAGTGGGGTTCCAAACGCGGAAGCGGCAGCTCCAAATGCGGAAGCGGCAGCTCCAAACAGCAGCAGTGCTCCAAACAGCGGCAGCCCTCCAAACGTGTAAGAGGCAGCTCCAAACGCAGGGGCAGCTCCAAATGCAGAAGCGGCAGCTCCAAACGGCAGCGGTGCTCCAAACAGCAGTGGTGCTCCAAACGTGGAAGTGGCAGCTCCAAATGTGGCGGCGGCATGGGCAGAAGGGAAATCAACAGCGGCGGGCGCTGAAGGTCTTGGGTCTGCCGCAAAGGTGCTTGGCAGGAGTAGGGAGCTCTCCGCGCTCTGCCATGATCACCCATTAGGAGCAGCTGGTGGTGAGGAATTGCTGCCCGCGGGGCGCTCCTAACGGCAAGTCCCCCCGCCCTTCCCCCCATTTTGCATGTTTTAAAATAGGCCTAAATTTGGGGGGAGGGGCTTAATTTCATTTTATGCCTAGAAAACATGCTGGGTCTTCCTATTGGGGGAGGTCGTATTGTTGGAGAAACATGGTAGCATTTTGCACTTGGCTTGGTCTAACATAGTCACAGTTTTCCAGCTGAAACTATGGTTAACTCTGTCCAAGTGTTGTGAAATTTAAGACCTTTCATCATGTCTTCTGTTTGGTATTCATGGATGCATTCTGCTAGTCCTCTGGTTGTCTATCCTATGTAATGACTGTTGGTAGAGGAAAAGAGTTACTAATGATCTAGATCTGAAGAGCCATCTGCTAAGACCCCATCTTTTAAGAAATATACTTAATAATTTGGTACCAAAAATGAAAGGGGTTAGTTTTTCCTCTCCATCTACTCAGCTCAGTCTTATAATACATAAACTACCGACAGAAATGGAACTGAGAAATCTGAGACCATTTCTTTTAATAGAAGCAATACAAATAATTCAAGGCCATCTTCATGAACTTCTTAAAGCTACACAAAAATAAATATGTGAGCTGGGATTCAGGAAGTTTAGCTAATTTTCCAGCTTGCATTCCTGCCAATATGTTCCTGCTGATTTCGGCCACACTAGCCCATGTTGCTCCTGGCAAAGTGTAGTAAGCTTGTGGTACTTATCCTGGTTAGGACAAGGGCCACACATGGATCTCATAGCAAATACAAGGAGGAAAGATGGATTAATGCCAAAAAAAAAATGGATGTGCCCAAAATAAAAACTATTTTCTTAAGGCCCACCTGCTTTATCTTAATTTTTCTGTGGTATCCAACCTGATTCTTTATCTGAACTTAAAATTTCTAAGACTTAAAACCATGATATGCTTTACAGCAGGATTTAATCCTCTATGAAAGCTGTTTCACCAGCAACTGAGCTCATGTCAAGGACTTAGCTGGGAGGATTTTCAGGATTACAATGAATTCTGCAAACAGACAACTCTTTTCCAATTTTTTTTTAAAAGTATGGTATTCAAACTGGACATTATTGTGTCATATTTAATTTTATCTGATAACTACTGACTCTATTAATAAGTTGTCTATTAGATTGCCTTTTCTGGTTTCATTATTTCCTCATTGCTTCTAAATATGATTCCCATAGATGTATACATGCCTTGATCTCAATATGGCTTTATGTGGGACCCAGCAGGAGTCAACTATTTTGTTCAGCAAATCTTGGAAAACTTAGAGAGATGGAAAATTTCCAAAGGTATGTTTTTTCCTACATCATTTTCCATGGAAAAACCTCCAAATCGCCTCTCATGGATGAAAAGACTATATACAACTTGGCTTGAATATTCTACTAATAATTCCTTCCATTTATTTGCAGAAAAATGACATTCCTTCAGAATTTATCCACTGAAGCTATTTTAGATCACTTTGCCTTTAAGGCTGATAACATGGAATCACTGGAGGGCTATTTTCAGTCTGGAACAGCTCTCCAAAAGAAAATTCATTCTTGCTGCTAATGTAAAACCCAGGTGTTAAACAAAATACAAAAATCAGACTGCTTATAAATTATTCGTTCCATTTTGTGAAGTACACATTAGACTCAAAAGCCACGTCTTGAACAGCTTTGTTAATTCTTTTCAAGGCATTTTTATATACTTCCCCCAAAACAGACACAAGGAGCTTTGTCTCCCAGAAATTAAAGTCCACTTAAGTGGCAGTTTGCATAATGAAAATATTCTGCAATAATAAACACACAGGGTCCTATTCGAATTCCATAGGCAGACTTCTCTATTGTTAGAAGCCAATGGTGGTCATGGATTTAAGCTTTTAGAGTCCTCCAAGCCCATTCAGAAAGAAATCTTGCTGAGTCTGGGAAAAGCCTTGAGTACAACCATCTCCCAGAGAGAATTCCTCCAGCCATGGAGACTTTAATTATTTCCTTTCTCAGCAAGACCACTAATCCCGAGACGCCAAAGATATTGTGGAGTTAAAGCAAGATGTTTGACACTTTCCAATTTAAAAATAAAATAAAAGGAAAGGACTTCCTGTTGCAATCTGCTTGGAGAATAAGCCACAATGGGTTTGATTGGGCCCACTTCTGAATAACCATATATAGCAGGAGTATCAAACTCAATTTCATTGAGGGCCACATCAGGGTTGTATTTGATCTCCAGGTGGGGTGCTGTGTGGCCAGGGGGCATGGCCAGCTCAATGTCACTTGTCGATGCTCTATTTTTGATCGTGGCAGCCTCCTGCAGCTCTCTGCTGGTGAAAATGGAGTGTGTGGCCTCCCCAGGCCACCATTTTTGCTGGCACAGGGCTGCAGGAGGTCGTTATAGCCAAAAATGGACCCTGAGCAGGCCTTGCACGACCTCCCTGAGCTCCGTTTTTGCTAGAAGAGGCACAAGCAGCCCCACAGAGCATTTGGTGCCACCCACCCACCTCTGCTCTTTCCTGTGCTTTATTTTGTTGTTTTAGAGCACAGCTGATTCGCATGGCAAAGCAGTTTGCCACACCTCAGCTGTTTTATTCTCAGGGGCTGCAGTAGAAGGTAAGTATTAGAGCTGAAAATGGGCTTTTTAAAATGTGAAGTGCGTGTTCACTGAACCAGTTTTTATACCGGTTGAATCACACCACTGCCCTTACCTATAAAAGCCAGTCCCCCAATTGGGTGAAATAAAATCTGTGACTATGCCTTTCTCCTTGTAAATTAAATATTATATGTACATGTTGAGCAATCCTTCTGTATGATCTGAGGCTGCATCAAATTTTAAGGCACCAGAGGCTGTGTTCATACAACACATTTAACACATTTAAACCATGGTTTATTCAATCCATTTTTTATTGTTTCATAAGGCACACTAAACTGAGGTAGCCATGTGGCACATATTTGGAAATGCTGATTAATTTGTAGTTTATTATATATACAAACACAGAAAGCAATAAAGGCCAGAAACTAATGTGATCATAATGTATTCTGTAAATCTAGCCCTGTAATTAGTTAGTTGCACAATATAGCACGTAAACCCAGAAAATTGAGTTAATTGAATCAAAACATGATTCATTTAGTCATGGGTAAGTATTCTGTACAAACTTAACTATATTGCTTCTTTCCATCTGCTTCTTTTCCCGATGAAGCACACATTGATTATGAGGTGAGGGAATTCTATTTCAAATTAAGTCTATTTTTAAATTTGGGATGGACAAGAGAGAGGAAATCTAGCTTGTGCAAAGTTTTGCAGGGGTGTTTGGTTTCAACAGTCATTCCTAGAATATTTTAGAATTTAGAATATTTTAACTTTCTAAAGACTGGGAGCTCTATACGATGAACCTGTTGGAAGCTGCATGAGAATGTTTAGCTAGTGCCTGGTCTTTTGGTTTTAATAATTTTGGTTTACATATTTTAATTGTACATAGATGTGGCTTTCTCTTGGTTGTGTGAACCACCCAGAGTTTGGTATAAGATGGGTGAGTATATAAAAGCTTTAAATAAAATTTCTTTTCAATGCATCTTCTAATAAGAAATTCATTAACAGAAGAAAAAGAGGGAGGGCAGGGCCAGGCTGAGCAGACAACTAGTATGTAAGTTTCTAAAATAACTTCTTACACTTGTTCCATATAGCTTCGGATTTTGAAGCTTTGCCGCAATAAATCTAATTTTTAAAGACAGTCCAATATTTTAAATTTCTATTGTCTCATTATCCTTTCATTTTAATTTGTGGTTGTCTTTGTGGATACAATACAATATATGCTGGCACTATATCCACCAATATTTTGATCTAAATATCTTCGTATTGTGCATTTCTGAGATTACTTTGATTCATGGGCCATAGTCGAATAAACTAGAGTTCAGGTAAACATAACCTGAGCACACACCACATACCAATGTTTTCAACCGCAGCAACTTTTAAGATGTGAGGACCTCAATCCCCAGAATTCCCTCAACTAATATGATAGACGAAGGAATTCTGGGAGTTGAAGTCCGCACGTCTTAAAGTTGTTGGGTTGAGAAACACTGCCCTACACTGCAACATTGTCAAGGCAATCCTATGCGGAGAGACTTCCAGAAATCAAACCCCAGCTCTAGAACCTACAAAGCTAATGCTTTGGAAAGCGGAGAACGATTGCAAGCAAAACACCCACCGGCTTAGGGTTAAAGTTTTCAGCGGAGAAGGAGTAAAAGAGAAGCGTGCACCTAAGCGCATGCGTAGCTGATGCTGACCGCTGAAGAACCGCCCAATTGAATCCATCCGTTTAGAGAGCAGTCGGGCCCACCCTGACGCGCATGCGCGCTTAAGGTTAGGCGTGTTGGCGGCGGCGTGCGTTGGACCCGCCTTTTCCTCAGCCGCCTGTCCAAGATGGCGGAATACGATCTGACTAACCGGATCGCGAATTTCTTGGACCGGCACCTGGTCTTTCCGCTCCTCGAGTTCCTCTCCGTAAAAGGGGTGAGTGAGGCGACTCTCCGAGCCACAACCGTCTGGGATTTGGAACGACATCTCCCCGGGAGCCTCGTCGAAGGCGGCCACGACCGAGGAAACCTGGACCGCCCTCTCTCTGAGGCCGGTTGCTCTATGCGTGGTGTGCGTGGCGCGGTAGCAGAGGATCGCGAGTGACGGACCCCCGAGCTGTGGCTTTTCCCAAGCCACATTTGTAGATTTAATACTTGAACTTGTTCTAAACGGCCGGCTGGGCCCACGCCTAGGACATCATACAATGCCGGTATTGGGATGGGAGACCACCACGAAATCCCAAACCCGCGAGGGTGAAAGTCAGCTGTTTCCTTTCCCCTTCCAATCGATAGGCGTCAAGGAAATTAAGGCAATAAAACTTCCTGTTATCGATTAAGAGGTTTCTTTCGAACTTGGAGCCATATTTGTAAATAATGGAAAGTGAGGCTTTTAAAGTGTTAGAAGAGGACCGATTTGAGATCCTCCCCTGTGTAATGTGGAAGAAAAACTCCTGCATTCCAAATTTATTCAGTTAGAAAATTTATATTGCCACCTACGACTCAAGGCGGCTTACAAGGATATAAGGATAAATTCCCATTTTACTTCAATAGTAAGGAATCTCATAGTGCAGAAGAATCCTCTGGGTCATACGCCTTAGACGTGGTTCTGAGGGTATTTTTGATGGCTGTGCTGTAACACTGTAATTTTAGGTGATATAAGGTGTTTTTGTTGGAACAAGCCTAGCCAAATTCATTGCAGTACTAGTCTGAATAGCTGGCCACAATCTGAAATTCTTGGAACTTGAATACATTAATTACTGATTCTAGTGTGCCTTTTATAAATTGACTTTTATACAATGGTTTCACTGAATTTTGACAGAAAGCAACCTAAAACTAAAGAGAAATGTCCTAACTGTGAGAAGCTAAAGAGTGGCATTCGGAAGTTGTGGGTGCCCCATCACTGGAAGCTTTTAAGGAGAAACTAGCCACTTGTCTGAAATAGTCCTGATTAATCAGGGGGTTGGACTAGAAAACCTCCAAGGTCCCTTCCAGCTCTGTTATTCTATGTTATTCTGCAACAGTATTGTAGCTGGCACAGTATAGTGGGTTAAGACATTGTTTCAATGAATAGGAAGATTTTCAGTTTGAATCATTAGATAATGCTAGATTAAAGCAGAGTTTTGGATTTACTTCCAAAAAATACTTTGGAATGTCCATAATAACTGTTTGGTCTAGTAGTTAAGGCACTTAACCACTATCCAGGTTAGAAACCAGGATACTATGAGTTCTAGTCCCACCTTAGATATGAAAGCCAGCTGGGTAACTTTGGGCCAGTTGCTGTCAGCTCAATCCACTTCACAGGATTGTTTTTGTGGGAAAATAGGATGAGGAAGGAGTATTATGTATGTTTGCCACTGTATATAGTAAAATAAAGGTGGTATAAAATCTAATAAAATGTCTGCAACTCTTTAAAGCAGAGGTCTCCAAACTTGGCAACTTTAAGACTTGTAGATTTTAACTCCCAGGAATTCTGGTAGTTGAAGTCCCCAAGTCTTAAAGTTGCCAAGTTTGGGGACCCCTGCTTTAAAGCATCTGTTCCATGATAGCAGGAAAAGGCATGGTTGCTTTAAAAAATTAGGGATAGGTGCTGTGTTTGTGCCCAAGCATACTCATTTTTGGGGAGTTGGAGCTGATATATTGCCTGATAAATACAGTGCCATCCTATTATTTTAGTTTCCTGATTCAGTATATTATACTGGATTTACTGGCAATTATTACAGTATGGTAATAGCTATACAAATCCTAGAACACAAAAACCATCAGGCTACCAATCACAATAAAGTGACTGAATTTCCATCCTTCTCAGTTAAGACTTTTATCAAAAATCCATGTAGTATGTCACTTAAATACAAAATCTGATGCACATTTCTTTCTGAGTTATGTTAAACTGAAAGTATGTTATTTTACTAATATAGTATGCTATTAGCTGCTTTTTTGTATTGATACATTATGCATAAATTTAATGCAAGGACAGAAATATAAAAAATGTGTTTAGAATCAACCTTGTATGGAATTACTTGTGAATCACTGCAAAAAAAATTTCCTATAATACTTACAGGTTTTAGGCATTATTTAACCACAGGAATATATAATGAAATAGCCCTTTCTTCTGGGGTTGTGAATTTCCAGCTTTCTTTCTCTAGTCTGAGAGCTTATATAAGGAAGATATATACTAATAAATTGTAATGTTCTCTAACTTTGTGCACCAAAATATGGTTAGCACTTGTTTTTGGATACAACTTATATCCTGTGTGTTTAATTGAAATTGTATAGATTTATTTATTTATTTATTGAATTTATATTGTCACCTATTTGCCCATGGCGACTCAAAGCAGTTTACAGAGTGTGAAACCATATTTAAAATAAAAAACAAAACTAGCAAAAAGAATAAAAAAATTAATAACGTACAATAGAACAAAATCTTGAAAAATAAAAAAATAAAAAATCACCCCTAGCTCCCACCCGCTGCCCTGACGACAGCAGATCACAGGAGCCATTTGATGGACTCCATCCCGCTCTGCGTTCCCCAGTCCCGCTGGCAGAACCAGGTCTTCAACGCCTTCCAGAAGAGAATCAGAGTGGGGCCCAGTCTAATCTCTGGGGGTGATAGGATCATATTACATGTGATAGATTACATGTGATATGATAATACATTAAACTTGTATACCATCTCAACAATTCTGGGAGGTTCATAACAAAGAAATTGTACAATAAAATCATGCCAGCTAGTTAGCTTATAGAACAGTAATTGCATGTAGTATAAGAATAAGTTCTATACTAAAGGTTTTTGATAACTGGCAGAGCCCAGTTTTACTAATCTCAGATGTGGCTTCTTTATGTAATGTGATAGGGATGCACATACACTTAATTCTAGCAGCATTTTGGCATCACAACACAAGCCCTGTTTCTTTTTTACTTGAGTCATAATGTTGTATACATGCCCCAAAGGGATAGAACTTGTGACATTGCTTTCAGCATTCTGACAGAAGCAACAGGAGCTATGGATACTGCCCAGAATGATGAACTTGAGATGAGCAGCCATATAAATTGAAATAATAAAAAATAAAGAAAACTGCCTAGATTCAGTGTTAAATTAATGTATGATTTGCTCTGTATGATTTCTAATTTCTCCATTTCTCAAGTCTTTAAATTTGTAGAATACATTGTTCAGGGTATCAAATTAATAAACTGTTTACCTGGCTGACTGTGAAACTCCTTACAAAAGGTTACAAAACTAAAGAATGATGTGCTTAAATAAACCTGAAATTAAAAGAAAACATAGAAATTCATTCACGTGTATTATTTTTCCAGATATACAATGAAAAGGAACTACTACAAGGAAAACTGGAGCTTCTTGATGACACCAACATGGTGGACTTTGCTATGGATGTCTACAGAAATCTTTATTCTGATGATATTCCCCAGGGTATGTGATTTAGTTTTAAATAGAACCATTGCATAATCTGTAATCAGTCTTCACAATTAAGAGGAATAAAATCTTTTAGTAAGCTTCAAATCAAAAGGTGTAGAAGAAATCTTCTATAAATATTCCATTCTATAAATTTTATTATGTGTTCATCTGCATTTCCATAATCTCTGTGTACTTCCAATTGGGTACAAGTACTTGATTTACCACCACCAGTTTCTGCTAATGCTAGAAGAACTTTAAAAAAAACTTTGGCTCAGCCTCTCAGATTGTAGTAATTCATAGTTAACAAGCAAAGTTTTCAAATTGTGATGTCCTTCAAAAGGAAATACAATAATAGTTCTTTTCTTGAAAAGAGTTGTTTCATTTTACCAAGCCCAAAATAATGAAGTTACATCAAGCGTATATGTAGTGTATTGAATTTGATGTTAAATGTAACTTACACGTATAATTATAAAATGCATACATTTATATTTTTAGTAAAGTATGTCTAATTAAAAGTTGCAAATGATAAGAATACATGAGCTGTAGTGGCACAGTGGTTAGAGTGCAGTACTGCAGGCTACTTCTGCTGACTGCCAACTGCCTGCAATTTGGCAGTTTGAATTTCATCAGGCTCAAGGTTGACTCAGCCTTCCATCCTTCTGAGGTGGGTAAAATGAGGACCCAAATTGTTGGGGCAACAGGCTGACTCTAAACTGATTAGAGAGGACTGTAAAGCACTGTAAAGTGGCATATAAGTCTTAAGTGCTATTGCTACATAGTATTATATATGTATGTCTAGAATTGGAGTTTGCATAGATCACTCACTATATTTTTCATTCAGCCTTACGTGAGAAGAGAAACACAGTAGTTGCACAGCTACAGTTGCTTCAGGAAGAAATGGATCCCATTGTTAAGATGTTTGAAGACAAAGAAACCACACTTCAAATGCAGTCCACCAGGTAACATTTCTACATGTTTTCTTTTGTTATACACATCATGAAATGCTTCAAAATATACTGCTTTCCTTCTGTTAAAGCTTTTTTCGTTGAGTAAGCAAAGTGAATCACACTTAATTGAGCAAGACTCCTTAGTATATGTGTTTAAAGCTTTAGATTAAATTTAAATTTAAACAGCTACTTTGGTGTGATTAGGGTGCTGGCCTAGAAATCAGAAAACTGAGTTCTAGTTCTGCCGTAGGCATGAAAGCTGACTGGGTGACTTTGGGTCAGTCAGTCTGTCTCTCAGCCCAACCCATCTGACAATGTGCTTGTGGAGAAAAAGAGGAGGAACAAGGAGAACTAGGCATTTTTGCCATCTTGAGTTATTTATAGAGTAATAAAAGAGACTTAAAATCAAATCGCTAAAATATTTCTGATTAGAAATAAAATAGAAAATAATGCTTAGCAGATTTTATTTAAATTATTATGGGATTGATTTAAAGATACACAAGCAGTAAAACTATAAGCTTGTATGTTTCTGTTCTTCCTTAAGAAGAAGTAGCTAAGATGAATGCCACTTAAAATGTTAAATATTCTTTCAGGAAAATTAAAAGGGGGAAAGGACTAAATGGAAAGGTTATTCTCATTGTGCTGTTTCTTCATTGCAAGCATATGATTTTTTGTTCAGAACAAAGCCAGGGGAAGTAGAAAATAGGATCGACATTTTTCTATTCCCTGTGCATTACCTTCAAATCCAACTTGATTACATGCTGTCAAAATATGATTAATTGTGGTTTGTTGCCTGGGTCACTTTATCATAGTTAAGTGTTAAGCAAGGCCACACTATCGTTGCTTTAAAGGAATAGATTCATTATCCATAAAAGGTTGTGTGGAATGAATTAACTATTGGAAGCACATTTTATTTAATTTTAAAGATTCATATAGCCAATTATAGCATCATTATTAATTTTTATTTATTACAGGGATGGTCGGGTGCTATTTGACTACTTAGCTGAGAAGCATGGAGTATGTATTTACTATTAAATCTGTAAAACTAAGTTAAACTTACTTTTGCCTTGTTCTGTAAATGCACCTTGTGAATTACACTTAATAAAAAATGAATAAATGTTATATTTGATTTTTAATACTGATATTAAATATTCTTATCATTGTAATTACTTGTTATACATTTAAATTTTATAATTTGGAAATTAAATTATTTTTGATATGGCATGATAATGCCTATTTTTGAAATTCTCCCAAATTATGGTTAGAAAGTATTGGAATAATTGCTTTCTCTGCAGGCTGTAGAACTAATTAGTAGTTTGAAATAAAATAGAAAAAATAAGACCATAATACAAAATAAAGAAACAAATATCTGTCTTCCATTCCAAAGGTAATCTTCTAAATCTCTGTCATTAATCCAGTTTATTCACTTAAGGTATTCAGGATTATTCTTGCAAATCCTTTAAACTCAGTGGTAAACCACTTTCCAAGCAGCTTGTTAAAGACTGCAATTTGCAAAAAATACAAACAGACTGTTTGAATTCACTTCAAACATTAGTAAATAAGGATAAATAGGTAAAGCAAAATAAGATGCCCTTTTCCAATAACAGCTTGGCTAATTCCCAGATTGAATTACCCTAATGTACTGTGCTCAGTTTTCATCCATTTGAACCAAACAAGGAAAGCTATCTGTGGAAGTAAGAGACTTGGAAGCCTATTGGTTTTAATGCAGGAAAACTCAGTCAGCATGTTTAGTTCATTTTAAGGAAAATAAATTTGATCCCAGCCTAGTTGTTTCATAGAGTTCTTTTTTGCTGACCAAATAACTCATTGATTGTAAGTGTAATTATGTCTCATTCTGGACTTTATATAGTTAAAGCTCATTTCAATACATAACGTAAAATTACTGTCATTTTAGTATTCCAGTATGTGGCCTAAGATGCAGCTTAAGATGATTAACCATATTAAACATAAAAGAAGTATAACAATTTTGACCATTTTTCTATGTTAAAAAAATCAAGTTTAATAAAGCATAAATATAATTGGGAGAATCTAGGCTAGCTCATTCGTAATAATACAGACTCAGTACTGATAGTCCTGGACTTAAACCCACAATTGGGACTGGAATTTCAGTTGCTAAATGATATAGTTATTAAGCGAATCAAATCACCAGACTATTTCTGTTGGATGTTAAGCGAATCACAGCGTTAAGCGAATCGGGGATCCCAATTGACTTTGCTTTTCAGAAGCTGGCTGAAAAAGTCACAAATTGCGATCTCATGACTGCAAGACACTGCAACTGTGATAAATTCAAGTCAGTTGCTAAGTGTCCAAATTAATATTAAATGATCACAGTAGTGGTGTGATGGTCATAATTTCAAGGACAAGTCATAAGTCATTTTTTCTGAGGCTGTCAAAACTTTGAACTGTCCTTAAATGGTTCGTAAGTCGGTAGTTACCTATAATAGGTTTCTGTGTTTAGTCTGAAGTAGCCAGACAAAGTGTAGCCAGAGCATATTGTTATTTGCCATTGTGTGGCTTTGTATTTGGGGTTTTATTCCTATAAGCCACCTGGAGTCACCATGAGGAAGTTCGTGGTAATAAAATTTCCTAAACAAATATCCAATTATGAATTTTCAAATAAATTTTCAACCTTAAATATTAACTTTTTCTTGATATTGCTTATTTTCTATGTTTTTCAGTTTAGGCAAGAATATCTAGATAGCCTTTATAGATTCGCAAAATTCCAGTATAAATGTGGTAATTATACAGCAGCATCAGAATATCTATACTTGTTTAGAGTATTGGTAAGTATCTTTATATTATACTTTTAAATTATTGTCCAACTTTCAACTAGATCTTCTAGGTAGTGGTTGCATAATATTGCACATGGACTGCACTTTAATTTAGGGAATATTTCATATGGAGATGTCTCTGTTTTTGAGAGGATATTGTCATTTTACATATTACAGAGGTTTTTATTTCACTTTCTTATTTTTCTAAACACTCAAAAGTACATGTCATAACACCAGTAAAATCCAAATGTTTGTCTGCTACTTTAGCTTCTGAGAACCATAATAGCATATTAAGGTCTGCATGTTTAATTCTTAAGAGCAGTCTGGAAATGTTGTATTTCTGACTTGTCTGAATAGAAATACTACATTTGCTTTAAATGGAACAATTTTTATAGTTAACTAAAGTTTTAAGTTTTAGGAAGCTTGGTGGCTATTTATAAATTTTCTTGTTATAATTTCTTGAAAAAAATGTATCTATGGTTGCTAAAAATCAATACTGACTTGATGGCTCATAATCAGTATAAGTTAATTACTAAATACATAAACCTGTGCATGTTTGCATTTGATTCTGAAAACATGTTTCAGAGAACATAGAGTTAACTTATTAAAGCAGGTGCAATTTTTTTCCTGGGATTGTGTGATATCAGACAAAGATGGCATGTTGAGTTAAATCAGAAGCACTGCACAGCCTCGATAAGAAACTATGCAAATAAATGACAAATATCTGTTGTAGCTGCTTATTATATTTGTTCTTGAGGAGTATCTCTGTAGATTGCTTGATACATTTTGTCCAGTGATTATATAAGTATGTGTAACAAAATTTGGTTTAAGTAACGTGGCAATCCCTGTGGTGATGTTCCTGCTTTCCTAAGGGAAATTATCTACTCCTAGCAATGTTCCCCCTCCCCCATCTCAGAAATGCCAACTTCCTGACTTACCAATAACTATGATTTTTAATCTCATGAAGAAAGTGTGTATTTAGAAATGAGAGTTATTGATTTATTGTTTTATTTCTGATATTTCTGGTTTTCATTTGTTTACTTGCTGAGTTTTTAATACAGTAAACTCTCAAGTTTATTGCAGTGCCAAATATACAGGTATGCCAAAACAGCATACCATTATAGATCTTGTAATCTTATAGTGGGAAAAATAGTATTATGTACATGCATTTAAATGTGGATGGCCAGATGGTTACCCTAATAGATGATTCCACTAAAGGATAGAAGGTTCCACTACTATAAAGTTTCTAAAGTGGATCTGTATCAATTTTTGAAATGTCTATGGATACAATATTTAGTCTGTTGAAATGAAGAAATAACTTTTTTTGTTCAAATATCAAAAGTTTATGAAAATTGCTGCTTGGATAGAGGTTTAAGCATTGTATTAGTGCTTTTTCTTTTTACTATATTATTTCACATCAGTATCACTTGATTTAATAATGTACTAGTAAACTCAGAGGTTTTATATGCATTTCCTTATTCCAAGACACAATGTTATTTAGAGCCTAATGTGAAAATTGCATGCTTTTTCAAAGTATTTTTTTAAATGTAAGAATTGATCCAAAACGACCAGAGATCAAAAGTATACTTTCTGAATGATGTGGCCTTAAACTTTGTTTTGTTGACTATTCAAAATGACAGGAAACATAAGTAGAATACTATAAGTGCCATTACATTACATCTTGGTTTAAAATTTATAATGATCCAATCAGTTAAACAGTTAGTGGCCTATTTTCCTGTCTAGATTTTCTTCATTCTGATTAGGAAATATTTTCAGTAGAGTTGAGGTTTTACTAGTTAAGCTTTAAACCCTTTTAAATTAGTGCGTGAAACCCCAAACTACACTGAAGTATTGTTAATGAAAAGATCATTATTGCTTGAATTGAAAACCCTGTGCAGAAGCTGTGGTTGCCAATTCTCCAGGCTTTCCTGTTGTTTTAATCTCCAGCTGAATCTCCTTGGAAATGCCTACTGCTGATTGTTTCCTTGAAAATCAAAACTGATTTGCTAAATGAAACACAGCCCATTTCCCCAAAATTGTGGAGCAAGTATGTCAATGGCATATTCTCTCTCTCTGCTGGTGCCAGCAAGTCTCTAATCAAAATGTTTGACCTAGAGAAATATTAAATTATTGCGGTTATTGTAATCGGATTCACTTATTTAAAACAGGTTCCATCAACAGATAGAAATGCTTTGAGCTCACTCTGGGGAAAGCTGGCATCTGGAATTCTGATGCAGGACTGGGATGCTGCCATGGAAGACCTTACAAGGTTGAAAGAGACAATTGATAATAGTGTGAGTTTGTTTTCGTTTGCTTCACCACATAATAAAGATGGGGGAAGATACCTACTGGATGTTGACATATTTAATACCAGCTCATGTTTTCCTCAGATTCATTTTTATGACTGCTTTTCAAAGTCTGTTTCAGAGAATATTTTCAAGATTTTATATGACCGGAAAAATGAGCTCAATTAGTTAATTATTGATGACCCAATCTTAGCTGAAAGAAGGTCGGAGTCACGCTTTCAGAATTTCAGGACTAGCTCAACTAGCTAGTTACTAGGAGGTGCATAATAGTGCATAATAGCACTTTCTGTTCCCATATTGCTTTTGTACTTGGAACAATATTTGAATTTTTTTATCTACTTGGAGAAGCATGCCAAAATGCAATGTAGAGATAATAAACTGCTGTTCTAGGTGGAAATAGATGCAAAATGCAATGTAGAGATAATAAACAACTGTTCTAGGTGGAAATAGAAGGAAGATCATGCTGGGAAAGAGTTAATATTAACTACCATGTTTCTCAGAAAATAAGGCCAGGCCTTATTTCTTTTTGACTCCTGAAAAAATGGCTAAGCCGTCTTTTCAGGGGTGACTTAATTTCTCCCCACATGCGCACCCTCGCCTAGAGCTCCCCGTGGGCAGTCACGCCTCACCACCAGCCGCTTCTAACGGACGGATCATGGCGGAGCATGGAGGGCTCCCTACCCCTGCCAAGCACCTTTGCTGCAGACCCGGGTATGGTGCTGGGTGCAAGCCGGGTCAGCGGGCCGGCTGCAGTGGTGTGGATGTCGGCCTCGGCGGGGCACTTTACATCGTGAGAACTTTGGCACCCACTGCTGCTGCTTCCTCTGCAACTGTTGCTTTCCCTTCTGCCCGTGCTGCTGCCGCATTTGGCGTGCTGCACATTCCTCCACCGGCAGCATTTCAGCCACTTCTTGGGCGGGGGAACTACCTCCGTAGCTTCCATGGTTCCCGCCGCTGCTGCCGCTGTTGTTGGAGATGGCGCTGGCGAGAGAGGCAAGGAGCAAGTAGAATGAGTAGGTCATACAGAATTAAGAATAGGAGGAGGAAAAAATATATTTGTTATCTTTAACATATCTTATCCTTTCCCACTTTCAGAATAGATTATAAATTATAATATTTAATGGTTGCCTATCCTTTTTTAGATATATTAAGCAAAAAGAATGACTCGTAAAAATTTCTCATAAAATTTCAGATCCTTTGACAAGTTATAAAATGTATTTTCCAAAGTCGGGGTAGAACATAACACTTCTTTAAAAATGGAACAATTTCCCTTTAAAAAAATAAAGTTAATATCTAGGAACATGGAGTACAAAGTTATTTTAAATTTAAATCAAGGATGTGGGCTAATTTTGATTGATACTTCCAAATCTACATCTTTGAAGATGCCAGATGACTTAGTTTTCCTCACTGAGCTATCTTTTTAATTATTAATTGTAGGTATGTATGGTATGTGTTTTTATATGAATTCCAGGTTTTTCTTGTAATGAAATAATTGTACTTCACTAAAATTTTTGGATTGGTTTCAGCACTGTAACCAAGCCCTCAGTAAATTTTTCTCTCCTTATTCCTGCTATACATTTTGCCTGATGACAGTATTAGCCATGGTATCTCTTTATACTTTGGCATTCTACTTATTTCATCCAAGCTGATCATCTGCATTGCAAACAACCCAGGCATTAGCATCAGAAATCTAATATTCTGTATCATTATCTTTGTTATACCTCACCAGTGATAGAATGCAGAAAGATGTTATTGATTTTTTCTTGGCACTGAGGATGCTGATACAATCTGTAACACATTTCTGGAAAATTTCTCAGTGTTCTTGACAAAACCCTCTTTAAAAAAAAAACAAACCCTCCACAGAAACAAAGCAAAACAGCCTGAAATTAAGCACTTCTGGAAGCAAGACATGTGTTAAAGGTGAAAATGGATGCTATTTGTGTTCCAGGGCATCTCCCATTTCAAATGTTAATGTTTTTGCTGATGTGGGAGCTACTCAAAGGTAACACCATATAAAATCTATAATTTTATTACCAAATTTCAGAGAACACAAGTTAGAGCTACAAATGGAGTCATGTGAATATGGCTTGTTCACTCCTGCAACAAATTAATGGGAAAAGTGGCTCTTGCAGTGGCTACTTGGTAGTGGTTATTTAATAAATTTGTATGACTGCCTATCTCTTATATATGACTCTGGGCATCTAACTGTAAAAACAAGATAAAAATGGAGTAAAACAAATCAACACTTTAAAAACATCAATAGCATAACATAGCAGCCAAGAACATACCATATAAACCACTCACTCATACTTCAAGAATTCCAGCCTTTGTGGGAAACCCAAATTTTTAATGCCATGTGAAAGATCAGTAGGATCGGGGGAAGTCTAATCTCAAGGGAACTCTTTTGCAGAAGGACCCAGAACATGTCTTTCCTGCCAGATATAACAAGATAGGTAGACACACGTGTTGGTTTTGTTACATAATATAAAGTAGAGAAAGTCTGCCCTTACAATATGTGAGGGAAAAAGTCTTAACTGGCAGCAATGTTCTTAATTTACTTTTTTGTCACTTATAAAATGACACTTGTCAGTAGGAATAAGAATAGAATAGAATATTAAACAGAGTTGGAAGGAACCTTGGAGAGACCTCCAACCCCCTGGTTAGGCAGGAAACCCTACACTATTTCAGACAAATGGTTATCTAATCTCTTTAAAACTTTCAGTGTTGGAGTATTCACAACTTCTGGAAGCAAATTGTTCCACTGATTAATTGTTCTGTCAGGAAATTTCCTCTTAATTTTAAGTTGCTTCTCTCCTTAATTAGTTTCCATCCATTGCTTCTTGTCCTGCCCTTAATGCTTTGGATAATAGCTTGATTCCCTCTTCTTTGTGGCAATCCCTTTTATATCATATATAATGTTAGATAATGTTAATATTAATTATAATATTAAAGGTAGAAGATAAATAAATTGGTTGCTTGCATTTTCTTCAACTGGGAGATATTGCTTGGTATTGTGGCTGTGGGAATAGCTGCAGAAAATGAATTTGCCATTCAGTTGCTCTCTGCCATAAGTTGTACAACTAGTCTGTTGTGGTTTTTTTTTGACATCTTAGTGAAAGAAATTCAAAACTGATTTTTTTCTATCATAATTTGAAATGGAGTATTTGAAGTGGAGTAAGAAAGAAGCTAAAACTTTAATAGATCAGTGGGGGAAAAAGATGTTCTTTACTCCTTTGTCTTCTCTGCATCAATATGAAAGAATTGCCAGCTAGGCTTGTGGGACGAATCAAGCAAGGGCCTAGCTTGGAGTCATTGAGCATGATGTCTCCCCAAACCCATGAAGGCTTATCTGGTCATTCCCAGGGGAAGGCAAGCAGTCTCGTAAGATTCTTGTAACATAGGTGATAAGCAATAAAGTTACAGTCTGAGGCTATTCATTAGTGTTTCTGATTACTTGTGCCTGACAGTCATTTCGTTGCTCCCAAAACAGCTTTTCTGGAATATGGGGTATATTCCTGAACAGCACGGGATCAGTCATAGGAAACTGTTAAAAGAACGAGTAAATATTCTCTCTTAAGAAACATTTATTTGAATCCTTAGCTTCCCGATCTCAAAATACAATAAGCTTTAATAGTTAAAATAATTTTAATTTTATAAATCTCTTTTTCAGTCTGTCAGCTCTCCACTCCAGGCTCTTCAGCAGAGAACATGGCTTATTCACTGGTCCCTCTTTGTTTTCTTCAACCATATTAAAGGCAGAGATAATATCATTGATCTCTTCCTCTACCAGCCTCAGTAAGTTGTGTTGAACTTACAGATAACATGGATATAGAAAGTTATTTCACACCTGAGCATATTAAAGATTTAATCAGAATATTTAAAAGTTACTGTAACTTTCTCAGATTGTTTAGATCATGCACTTACAACATTTGACTTGATTATGATATATTCTTGTAGTAAAATGTTCTATAAAATAAAATGCATATTTTCAAAATAATTTACATGCACTTATATGAACACAGCCCCTCTCTGCTATTCATAAAGCAATCCATCTTTTTTTGGCTTCTGGGCAACCTTGAAAAAGCTGTTGATGATGATGATGCTATAAAGGAGGTGACTCTTAATATAACTGTTAAACCAGCCATCATTTTTTTAGGTTCATTTAGAAGCCCGGAAAAAGTTTAATGATTAGCAGATATGTACTATGTTGGGCAATTCCAAAGAGCTACTTCTGAATCACTTTTACAACATTTTATATAAACATGTAAACAGGATTATTTTTTAAAAAAGAGAAGTTTTTTTATTTTAAAAAATTGCAACAGTTTAGTAATGACAGTCCAAGGAAACTTCCAAGAGGTGCACAAAATTCAATTTGGTTCCACAGGGTTGTCAACAGCAGTTTTATAAAATAATTTGTTCTCTTGAGTATATCAGAATGGTTGAGTTTATATAACACACTATGCCAAAATAAAGCAAAATTAATTATTTCTTAGCATAGCAAGGAACTGTACTAATTGTAATAATTAATAATTCCATAGCAAGGGACACTTACTGTTACTGCTACTACTACTAATAGTAAGGAACACTGGCTAATAGAATATAAGTAAATATATATAGAGTCATGCTGAATTTGATTGCCTTGTCAGGAAGCAGTTCTTTGTTGATGAGCAGAATTGGTTAAATCCATGTCAACTTTGAAAGCTGCTATCAAAGTATTTCATGGATACTTTTAAAAATGGCTGGAATTAGCAATTGATCTTTATCTTTTAACTTGAAGCTTTTTGCAATAATGTGATGCATGAATCAGTGAAGAAATACTACAGGTAAACCTTTTAGTAGCATCTGGGGTAAACACAGAAGATCATTTCTACTCTCTTGGTTAGTGAAACTGTATTACATTTAAAGCTATCGAAGATTTTAAGGAACACAGGCTATCAATTTCATTGAAATTGGGTAGTGATGTAAGTGTTTTATGAGGTAATGCACTGATTCACTGCCATTGCACTATGTTCCAAGGGCATATGATTCATCATAAGTTCTGGCCATTATATCCAAACAATATGTATGATATCATTTCTAGATTGAACATACTCAATTACCATCCTCAAGATAGTTATAGTAAATTATTGTTACTGCATCGCAAGTATTTGAGTAATTTTTCTATCTGTAATTTTATACAATGGCACTGAGCTCATATTTTATGCCATAATTCATTGGTGTAATTTGGCATAGGTTGCTTAAAACTAGTGCTTGTTTTGTAGGCTCTGAAGATGTTTGTTAAGGGTTTTGAATGGAAATGCAACTTTCTTTAAAACGATTCCAATCACTGTTACATGTCCTGCATTTTAATTATATTATCATGGGATAAAGCTTTAGTTCCATAGAAAAGTTTTAAGTTTCATTTGAAGACCAAGTTTCTGATCATTACATTAAAAAATCTGTTTCAGGATTTTGTTCATTGTTTGCTTGCTTAATCTCTAAATGGCCTGTGTTTGGCTACCATAAAAACATAAATAAATGTTGGGATTTTTCTGGGTTCATAATGAACAACTGCATTCTAAATATTTGCTATCTCACTAAATAATATTCTGTTTCTTCAGATATATTAATGCAATCCAGACAATGTGCCCACATATTCTTCGATACCTGACTACAGCTGTGATAACAAATAAAGATGCTAGAAAACGAAGGCAGGTATTGAAGGACTTAGTCAAGGTTATTCAGCAGGTAAGGAGTATGTACGTTTTTACAATTACTATGGGTTGCTCAAGGTTTGTTTTAAGTTATTTTAATAGAAAATAAAATTTGGAGTTTCTGTGCTATAGGAAAATAAGTCTTCAGTGTATTCTTAAATCACCTTTACATTTACAGCATTTGTATTAAACGTAATGTCTTGGTTTTACTGATTTTCATTGATACATGACCTTGAAAATGCATTTAAGTGCATACATATTTGGTGAATTAAACCAAAAGGAGGTTGGTTTTTTAATGGTCACACATTAAGCCATTTAATGCGTGACCATTAAAAAAATAAATAAAACGGCTCCAAAGTGCCTTAGAAATTATAACTTCAGATTGGATTTCTTTTTCCCTGATGAAGTTTTTCTCTGCAACTCTTCTCAGCAATGCATATTTGAACAAGAAATGATTTTGGGGTTGAGTACTCAAGTTCAAAGAGCAACACCTCTGCCTTAATTCAGTTAAATTAGCCTTAACTTATCCATAGATGTGCTGCATGGCAAATGATGGGTATTGTGATCAAATATCAAGAGGAACATTAAGTTGCAATAGATTAATCTGCCACATTTTTATTGTAAGCAATGCTGGATGATGAAGAAGAATTGACATATTGCAGTGACTGGGCTGTTTGCAAATTTCAAAACAACAGTACAAAGACAGAAAACAAAAGTAGAGGTCTTTTTTCCCTGTCTAACTTGAACATTAAATATTCTTTTGTTATTGATACCAGATACCAGTAAGTGATGTTAGAATGGAAGACTACTGCAAAATAATCATTTTATTTATTTATTTACTTAATATACAACAGTAGAAAAAATCAAGGCATTAAAAAACCACTTTCGTATGGTTTCCAGGAATCATACTTAGAAGAAAAGTTTATGAAGTCACCAGACTTTGAATAGTTCAATTCATTATAAAGACAACATTGTTAACTGCCCAGAATCATGAATTTGAGATGGGCAACTATATAAATAATGAATAAACAATATATTTGAAGAAGAAATATAATTTAAAATATGTGATCTTAATTGAGGAAAGGTAAATTTTAAAGAGCACAACTATAATTAAAACTGTATTGATAATACAAGCCTGAATTCATGAATTCATAGAAAACTATAAATGTTTGTAAAGACATTGATTCATATTTAAGATCACATTTCAAATAGCCATTTTATCTTACTACTTTAAAACTGATTCACTTGTTCTAACTGCATCATATGGACATTGAGTATCTACATATGTACTTACTATATTGCACAATTACTCTTAAAATATGCAGGAATCTTACACTTACAAGGATCCAATTACTGAATTTGTAGAATGTTTGTATGTAAACGTTGACTTTGATGGAGCTCAAAAAAAGCTGAGAGAATGTGAATTGGTAAGAATCTTTTTTTAAAAAATAATTAACATTTAAAATCCAGTAAATATTCATTAGTTATATTTTCTCTGGACATAGATATATATGAAATGGGGGATTTTAAAAATATTTACAAAATTAATCCTGTAACAAAGCACATAGTTTTAAGTGATTAAATTCTGAAACTAAGTTAATAGCTGTTTTTATTTAAACTTGGAAGCTAATGCAATATGCTTATAGTGTTACATTGCTTTATACAAGACTATGTGAATAAATATATCTGAAAGTCAGTAGTATGCTTTTTTTCCAGAAGTCAAGGAGAACATGTAGCAGTATGGCTTGGTTATATAGAATTCATTTTAAGTTTTGGATTTTGCATCTTTGATGCACATTTTCATTTAAAGGAGATGCTTGCTTGCAAGTGGTCCATATAATCTTGGTTTCCCCGATTGCTCTGCCCATGTCTAAAAATATATTATGTCTTAACAGGTTCTTGTGAATGACTTCTTTTTGGTGGCCTGTCTTGAAGACTTCATTGAGAATGCACGACTCTTTGTGTTTGAGACTTTCTGTAGGATACACCAATGTATCAGCATAAAGTAAGGAAATGTGAAGTACATTAGAAACGTTAATTTCTAAAATCAGATAAATATTGTGGAGATTTTTAATTAATAACTGAACTACCAAAAAGGAAGAATCAGTATACTCAAATAATCAGATGATTGTAGTTTTTAAAAAATTATAATTATGTTTTGTTTTATATGTGATCTAAAGTTTAAATTCCACATAGCTTATTGCTATCTGGCAGAAATAGTGCATTTTCCCTCAGGTACCAAATATTGTGAATCCTGCATTCCTGTATAGCAAATAAAAGAGAAAATGATGAAAGTAAGAAAATTCCTTGAACACAAGTATAATAGTTATAATGAAAGTATACACATAAACTCAGTAGATGCTACAGCCCCTTCAGCATATTTTTTGAATTGTGATTGTCACAGACAAAACACTCTGATTATTTTTATGGGAGGGCAATCTGGTATTCCAGAAATAGTTTTGAACTACACACACAAACCTTTTATATTGACAATACTGGCTAGATTGCTCTGACCTGATGCCCAAAACATGACAAGCACTAGATTGCTTAATCCTAGTCTATGCTAGCTTTTGTCCAGAAAGTATATGGACAAGGATAACAGGTAAGTGAACAATATAATGGCTTAAATGTAGCATATGCAAAAACTGGGGAGGGTAATGATTTTGTATAACTAATACCAAATGTGCCATTTTGTGATCATTCATCCATTCTGCACTGAATTAAAAGATCTAATTTGCTATATTGGTTAAAGACACCATACTAGAATATGAAGACCTTGAATTTTTGTCCTGCTTTAGGCATAAAGCCAGCTGGGTCATTTGGAGCCAGTCATGTTCTCATACCAAGGAAGAAAAAACTTCTTCCTTGATATGAGAGAACACAATTATTTCACCAGAAGCAAGATTGCAGATTTAATAAGCTGAACTATTTTAAGATTGCCAGAAAGGCAATATGGAACACTTAAATTAAAGGCAGATAGAGATTGCACTGGGAAACTATTAAAGTAGAGATTCCAATGTTGCCTATTGGCCATGTTACAGATAAAAAATCTTTACTGAAGCCTGGAAGCTTAACAAAAATAAGCTGTATATTTCTCAAATTAATAGAAAACTAAATGAAATGCTAAGAAGTTGTTAGAAAGCCACAGAAATGTCATCTGTATAAAGTGTGTTAACAAGACAATAACAAAAGCTGTTTCATATTACAAAGAACATGCTATTAGAATAAGTTTAGTTATGAAGTGACATCTTTGTAAATCTGACCCAGTAGTTAAAAGGCTTTTGACATTCTTAGGTCTCAGAACAAGTGATCTGATAAAGCACATGAAAGAGATTTCTAATGCTTTATTGCTTGAATTAATATAAAACCTTCCTTAGAGCAATTATTTCACCAGAAGGAAGATGGACATTCAGCAGATGGTATAAAGTTTAGTGAGATTTTTTTAGTTATGTTTATTTGATTAATGGTTAAAACTGTCCCATCATCCTATTAAAACAAATTCCTTCACCCCCTAGAAATATTTTTAAAATACCTATATATTTATAAAAATATGCTTACGTGCATTTACATTAGCTGCAGAACTCCAGTGGAGTATGGGTGACAAGTATATAGTCTGTAGCAGTGATGGCTAACCTTTTCAGCATCAAGTGCCCAAAGTGTGCACACATGCACGTACGCGCAAACCCCCAAAATGCAGTGTGTGCCTCCACACGTGCATGTGTCACATGCATGCACCCTGTGCATGTGCACGCATCCCCACGCATGCACCCCACTCCCGTGCATACACGACAGAGACTTGAGCTTGCTGGTGGGAGGGGCACATGCGCGGCGGAGCTGAGCTGGGGTGATGGCTCGCATGCCTGCAGAGAGGACTCTGCGTGGCACCTCTGGCATGCGTACCATAGGTTCGCCATCATGGGTCTATAGAATAAAATCTAATTTGGTTTTCACTGAATATACTATAATATCCATGAGTTATTCTGGTTTCTCTAAATTTTTGGATAGACAAAATTGGACTGCCTTAAAATAAATTGGATGGGAACATGATACACTTGTTGACTTAGAAAATGCTTGTTTTTATGACTACATTGCTGTTTATTTTTCATAGTTTACTTGGCAAAAAAAAACAGGATGTAGATTTTAAAGTATCCTATTAAAGATCTGCAAACAAATAACTCTTTTTAAAGTACATCCGACAGATTTTTTTCTTTATATTACATTTAAAAATTCTAAATTGTATTTAAAATTATAATTTAAGTTTTAATCTTTAGACATTCTGGGGAACTCAATTTTTATAAAAGGGAACTTTGTCTTTCCATGTTTCCATTTTCTCTGATTGATGCTGGGTCAAGATTCAAAACAAAACTAGCAACAATGTAGGAATAGTGAAATAGAGATTTAGTTCAGCATAAATCAGTATGAATTTGTACAAAGATCAAACAAAGAACATGAGTCTATTTTTTTTTATTTCTCTTTCCTCAGTATGTTGGCAGATAAATTAAATATGACACCTGAAGAAGCTGAGCGATGGATTGTGAATTTAATCCGAAATGCAAGGCTAGATGCCAAAATAGATTCAAAATTGGTAGGTTCCATGAAATACTGTAATCTGACTTAAAGTGAATTTGTGAAGCTCATTAACTCAAAGAGCTTCTTGTAGTTTCTACTCTCTTTATCTGTATTTGATTCTGAGATGATTATTATATGGTACCATCCTAAGATGAATATGTAGCGAAGGCTTTGGCTGATTTAAGCAATACTATGTACTTTGTATTTTTCTTTTTGTGTGTGTAAAAATACACCAATCTGCATAAAAGAAATTCGCCATTAACTATGTATCTCAAAAGGGTTGTTAAACTTTGGCCATGAAGTGACCATCCTTGGATATATAGTTTTAGGAAGTTTGGTTTGGGGGAAGAAGTCTGAAATGGGAGCTGATTGTCATGTGAAGACTTCCCATTCTATTCACAGATTATTATTTTTTATGAATGTATGGTCTAAGCTCCAAAGGAAACCAGATACAAGATAAAATAATAAAATGATGCATTTAGGGACAAGGAATCAAAGGTGAGGGTAAATGCTAAAATTTATCGGTCTAGGTCCTGTCACAATGGTTTTTTCCCCCTAAATGGAAGAATCATCTGGGTATACTTTGAACATTTGAGAGAAAATGAATGATAAGTACTAGAAAATTTAAGGTACAATGTAGTAATTTATGAAGAGTAGCTTAGGTATTAATTTCTACCCATGAACATCTATAAACCCTCCAGTTTTGAATGTGATTTCTGCTAAATTTTCAGCTTGTAATACCTTTGTGCCTGTTGTAATATATTTATGGGATTTCTTTAAGGGTCATGTGGTTATGGGGAACAATGCAGTATCTCCTTATCAGCAAGTGATTGAAAAAACCAAAAGCTTGTCTTTCCGGAGTCAAATGCTGGCTATGAATATTGAGAAAAAACTAAACCAAGGCAGCAGGGCTGAGGTAAGCAGAAATATATTGCGTCTTTTTAAAAAATATTAAATGCAAAGAAATTTGGTCCATTTATCATCCTCAGTAATTCAAAGATACATAACTAGATATTTCAGAAAGGTCAGATGATGAATTGAAATAAATTATATCAATTTGATACAAGCAAAATAAGGAAGATATATAGAATTAAGAGCCCTGAGTTTAAAAAGCAAAAACTTCACCTGTCAAAGGAATGTTGTCTATCTTTTTTATATCTACTTTTCCTTTTTATGGGATTCATAGTTGCCTTCTTTTTGGAAAAAAACATAGTATTTTCTAATAAAGTCAACATGCTCTATAGTTGTGCTTACACTTGTTTCATTAATTAGGAATGAAAGACACTGTTTTCTAATTTTTATTTTTACTTTTTTTTTAAAGGCACCTAACTGGGCTACTCAAGATTCCAGCTTCTACTGAAATGTTTCCAAAAGCGCAAAAAAAAAAAAAAAAAGTTCATTTGATAAAGATTTAAATTATGTGCTGTTTTGAAAAGGTGATAATTATGTGGACTTTACAGTACATATTAATCAGAATAAAACTGGCTACTTTTAATTGGTTGGCTATCTTTAATTGGATTTGTGAAAAGGTTTTATTCAGATCAGCAAAACTAGTGATTTCTTAAAAGTGTAAAAAACCCTCAATTTAAAAGAATTACTTGAATTTCAACCATGAAAAGCCCTTCGTGATATTTTTTTTAAAATATAACACTGCTAATAGAATATATTACAAATTTTATCCACTTCAACTTAAAATGGTACCCATATTTTCAGTGAGGAATAGTTTTGCCTAAGAGAATCTGGTAGAGGTTTCATACACACACAAAATCAAGGCTGATGTAAGGCCTAGACGGGCCAGCCAGAAATAGGTGGCAAAATTCATTTTTGTTCAGGCTACCTATTTTGGTTACTCTTTCTGTAGCTTAGAAGAATTAGTCTTGATAAAGATTTCTGAATTTTATTGGTTGAAATTGAAAGATTTCATCTTCTCGAGAGATAAATTTATTGTGATTTCTTACCCCTAGAAACCAGCTGCACATATCAGATTACTGAAACTATTGTTAAACTACTACAAGTAGGAAAGTTGTATCCTAAATATTTACAATATCTGCTTTGAGATGGTTTTGTGTAATTAGTCATTACAACTTTAAAAGATCAACAGTTGCACAACAAAGCATTGCTTTTAATGTAGAAATGATAAAGTCAGTGTGGTTAGTGAGTGATGAAATATGAAAAATATGGAGTGATTAAACATGGAAAAATAAACGGAGAGTATTGTCAAGTAACAGATTAATAAATGGCAACTTTATTTAGCTGGCTCTTCTCATACAGAATATGGCAAGATTAGAGAAGAGGAGAGGAGAGGAGAAATTCGCTGAAAGTTTCCATACAGAGGAGCCTTTCTAGGCTAAGTTCACCAGCAGTGCTTAGTGAATTTAATTTAACAATTTTAATACCAATTTTTCTGTCAGCAAAACTTCTACAAAGATTTTGTCTATGGCAATTTATAATTTAGTGTCATGAGAAAAATAAGGTGTTTTTTTTTCATTAAAATGTATGTTGCAGATTTCCAAGTCAGTTCTTTTCTGTCAGTGTTGGTCTGGATACCTGATCCTCTGGCTGCATTTATAGTTTGAAATGTACTTCATAATTAGTTGCTTTAGCAAATATAATGTTCTAATGGTAAATGTGCAATTAGCAACCTAAAATCTATTTCATGGATGGGTGGATGTTCATGTACACCAACTCAATATACATAGTTCTAGGTTGGACAGTGTCGTCTAGAGATTTGATTCAAACTTCATTCCTTGTGTAGCAAGGTAAGCAAGAACTGAGCCTGACTTGATAGCCCACTGCTCATTTTTCTACAGTGAAGCAAGTTAAGAAACTGGAGATTACTCAGTCATTTGGAACTGAGCAATAAGATAGCTAATTCTAGATGATTCCAAATTATTCAAGATAATCGCCTAAGAAGATGTACAGGATCTCAGCAATGAATAGTAGAAACAAAAGTGGAAACATAAAATTAACTCTGAGAAAATTAGAAGTAGTAAGTTTGCATATCTATTCATAACAAATTTGAAGATGCCCCTATTTTTTGGGGGGGGGGGGGGGAGGGAATAAACTGTTACAGTTTGATTTTAAAAAGAATATGTAACTTTGATCAAAGGCGCTATTGAACCAGGTAAGTTCCTGTTTTATTCTTTAGCCAGCTTTTTTTTCCCTCTCCTGCAGTGAAGCAAACAGCTCTGGGAAAATCTGGTTATTCTTTTATAAACAGATGTCCACTAAAGGGAGAACTTTGCAGTATATTTCTTCTATTGAAAAAATCTTTGTTTCTAAAAATATTTAATTAAAAAAATCTATTTATTCTTTTTTAATAAAGAATTCATAGCATCTCATATAATATTTCCTCTTTTTTGATTCACAGTAACATCCAAATTAACCACAGAAAAACACTGCTTTCTCCCCTTATTTTTTTGAAAAATCTTCAGTGTTGTATTAGATCTATGTATGGCTCTGAGGTTGAAAATGGATTCTTTTTTTTCTTTTGTTAGGATACATAAAAAGAGTGGCTCAATATAACCTTTTAATTCATGAATAAAATGCATTATAATTTTTAATGTGCTTTTGAAGTCCGCGCCTCCCAATTTATTTCTAAACATGTTAGGTGATAAGACAGCTGTTACCACTACTTAATCAATGGAGACACAATCACAGAACAAGTGTGTAACAAAAACTTCAAAAAAATAACAGCTATGCTTTCTGGCAGAAAAAAGAAAAATAAATGAAGATTTACCCTTTTTTTAATATCAGGCAATATGTTTAAAATGCAAAAGCAAGCAGAGCAATGGAGTAAGGAAGAAAATGGATATTGAAGCTGATGTTGGCAATAATTTCACATTATCTGTATGATAAAGAACTAGTAATAAGACAAATTAACTTACAGTGAGGTAAGAGCTGAAGCTTAGAGAAGACAAGGAACAGGCAATTGATATTTCCTGCTTGTCAATATAAAGTTTGGTTGGCTCTTCTTTATCATCTGGCTTTAACTATTTGCCTTCAGGAAAGAAAGTAGAAAAGAGTTTCATTTATTTAGCCATGTGGTTGAAAGTTATTTCTGCTGGTATCGACTAGGTTCTTTAAAACAAAAAAAAATCCCTCTGCCTTGGCATGCAACCAATGGTGATTATTCTTGTATTTTCACAGTACATCTCTGCCCCCATAGGGTTTGCTCAGAAAAACTTCAGAGGTGGGCAACACAACACCCTGAACTGCACCAATCTTTTCTACTGGGCCTCCTTCAGTGATAGTCATACTTCCTTACCATACATCTGGGAGGTCATGTTGCTCATCTACCTGTAAACCCCATTCTAATGGACTGGGGTCTCAGATTATTTGTTGCATTTGTATCCATTGCACTTGCAAAATTCTCAACTATTCAACAAAGCAATTAAAAAATAAAGTATAGTAAAAGTAGAAATATCATGACATAATTACATAATTATAAACCATACTTTAATTATTTGCTGCTATAGTTGAAATGCCAGGAGAAAATCTGTGTGGTTGCTAAGAATTGACAATAATGTGATGGCCTATAACCATAATTAAAACAATATCTACAGGTGTACTTAAAAGGAATCGTGCTCAGAATCCTTGACTCCAGAAATGCCAAGCACTCTCCTGCATTTGTGTTGAATAACTTTTATAGTGGGAAGATTGTAGGCTGTCTATGCAATTTAAAGAGCTGGCCTAAAAATACTTTACCTTTTCTGTATCAATATGTAAACTTCAAATATGATATAGTAAGAAAAGTTTCATGAAGACAATCCATATTCATTCCTACGTGAAAAACCTGACCCTTTCTTTGATACAGTCTTCAATTTACAGATATTTGTTTATTTACATGGATTATTATTAAGTCATACAAATTTTCCTGACTGCATAACAAGATTCTTTGTATTTTTGCACACTGTCCGGATCTATGCTGGATGACGAAAAAACTCCAGAGAGTCTGTAGTGGAAGAAAATAATAGTCCTTTACATGAATAAAATACCATTTTGCTTTATGTTGAGTTTAGTGCCATAACTTAAAAAAATAGAACACCTAAGTATTGCATTTCTGTAGACTGGAGGAAGAGGTCAAAATCAATGCATATCCATTTATTATTTAAAATGCTAGCAAAATGTTACTTTGAAATGGATGTTCCTATAAACAATACATTAACACTGGATGAGTTTAAATATTGTAAATCATAAGTTCATGCACTACAAATGGCTGGCTTAACACAATATACTGAACCATAAATTATAAACCACAAAGCACAGCATGTTAGGCCTAAAATTATAATAGTTACTGCATCTCTAAATCTAGTGATGTCTGCAAAACTGAATGCATGAAAGAAATTATTTCAAAAGGCAGATCTGATTTAAACTGAGATTTTGAAACACATGCTAAACTGTCTGAATATGGCCAAATGTGAATCATGATTAAGCTATGGTTTGATATTTCATGTCTGCTGAAAAGGAGACTGGAATGTTAAGTCTGCTTTAATGAAGAACTAAACTAGTGAAGACTAAACTCAGAATTACTGAAAAGAGAACTTGAACAGTCTCAAAATGTTTTTGGAACAGTGATTAATACATTAGTCAGTGCTCAGTATTAATGTCTGGCATAGGAAGAAACTACAGTAATCATAGAAGTGCATGACCTTGCTAACTGGTTTTAATGCTCTACTAAGGATTTATTCAGAGCAAAAGAAGTTTTACAAAACATGAAATGTTTCAGAATAGAGTATGGAACAATTGATAAACTTTTAGAGAGTGGAGAGGGGAATTCTTAGTGTTCTCTGAGGTATGTTGTTTGCTTGATGACATTGCATTACCTATCTAGGTAACATCAGTGCTAATGATAGCATGTAGACTTACATGCTTGTTTATAAGCAGTAGCTTACCCCATCAATGAGAGGCAATTTATGAGAATATAATTTCCTCTTTGTAGTTCCTTGATTAGAGTGTTCTTTCTGACAAGGCTAAACCACAGTTATTACAGACATAACAAAACAAAAAGTGAAAGAACAACTGGAAGACAAAGAAATTTACATCCCACTAAAAAACAACCCAATACAGCAGGGGTGTCAAACTGATGCGTCATGTACTGGTCCTGCCCCCCGCTGGTTTAACGGAGGGGGAATAAGTCCCACCGTGACAACACAAGTTTGACACCCCTGCAATACAGAAACTACAACCAGATTTTTAAAAAATACCTCAATCCTCCACCCAATCAAGAGGTCAAACTATAAGAAAAAAAGGACAGTGGTAAATGAAAAGCAGTGGCTCCACTCTCTCACACTTCTAATGGAAGCCTAAAAATGCACAGCTTAAGTATACAGCTCATCTAATTGTATCTTATCCAGGGACCACAACTTAAAATATAGCTAGAGATCTAGTTTCAGCATCTCAGAAGAAAGCAAATATTTGATCAATTCTTCACTATAATGATTGCCCCTTGCTTTATCAACAGTGAAAGGTGGATGACTAAAGAGGAAGAG